ATGTAAAATTTTGTGTAATTACATTTTAATTCAAATGTATCAAGTTGGTGTATCATGCTTAATGAGACGACCAATATTAGCTTATGTGTCGTTAATTAGTATATTTTAAAGTATTTCGACCTTCACAATAAGAAAATCTTTTAAAAAAATGACAAGTACTTACTATCGTCCAATAATTTGTGGATTTGCAGATCATTTGACCGGATTTATAATTGGGTTGTTCTAGATCTGGCCAAATGATCTGCAAATTTGACCAGAATTATAACCGATGGATTCCTCTATTTATTGAATAATTTAAACCCGGCCAATATAGTTACATGCCGAATTAAGCACCAATATACAAGTATTTTGTCACTTATTAAGATATTGATCGGCTATAACCGGCTATTTAGCCGCGGCTAGCCGGCTAAGAGCGGCTAGCCGGTAATAGCTAGCCAATAGCCGACCGTAGCCTGCTGATCCCATCCCTATCCATAAACATAGACCCCAAAGATTCAACCCTCTGCCGTTTGTTTTTAGCCGATTGCCTAGCACTGGCTAATTTATCCTGAAAATAAGCTTCCATAGAATCATTCTCATTCGGATCCCTAATTTCAGTTGCTACATTCTAGCCTTCTTTATTTGTCACTCTTAGCATAAAATCCCTAGTGGCTGCTGCCTTAATTATCAAATCCCAATCTTTATTCACAATCGCATTGTCCAAATACTTTCCCACCTTACACTACTCATAATATTCGAACTGATCTCTTGGCTTATTCGGCTTTTCTTTAGGCCAATACTTACTCTCTTCTACACCTTGCCCCGAATATACACTTCTCTAATTTCCCCTATAACTTTTTCCATCGTTGCTTGCACCATTTTCTCTAAAGATCTATATACTGCATATCATCTACTGGGAGATCCCGATTCTCATCATTCCCAAAATTAATCTCTGACGCCTTTTCAATATTACTATCCCGAGCCATATTCTCAAAATCACAACCAAAACGCACATCCGATAGCCTTCTACTTTAACAATTTTCATCTATCTTCCCTTTTCCCTTTGCTTTACTAATCATTATACCAGCCAACCTATCTACTAATTCCTTTTAGTTCCCACTTCCGATAAGCCTCACCTCTACATAACACCTTGAACATATCTACTGGCAGGCGATCGAAACTACTCCTTAGCCCTTGTTGTGAAGTTCTTTCAGATTCGTCCTCCAAGCCATTAAACGAAGATAATGTTGTTGGTGGTATCTCTTGTAAGTCACTTTCATTTTCCATTGAACTGTTTGCTTTTCGCTATTGACCACGTGATATTACGACAAAGCTAGACTTGCGTCGAGCTAGCAGCAAAGACAAAAAAGGAAGAACAAAATCCTAACTCTTCCCTTTATTTAACTATTCTCAAATAACCTTATACTTACCGATACTTTTAATCAATCAAACTCAACACACAATTCGTCATCTCATTTATCAACAATACATCACTCTCCCAGATCGCTCATCTGACGTCGTGGGTCTGGGCTGTGATCTTGTGACAAATGAATGCCTATATGCAAACATTCACTCACCTCGTAAGAGGGGAGTAATTTTATATTGTATTAGAAAGTGACCGAATAAGTTACACGGAAATCATTCAGTGATCACATAGGACGTGTCGAATAAATCACGAATTATGCGAATTTTCAGTTATTAGCCTATAAAAATCCAAAAAGCACGACAAGTCAGGTGATTGTAGTCACATGAACAAACCGGTTTATTCATTTAACTAATCAATTTTTGTTCACATGCTGCATGAAAGTGAGCGAATTATGCGATTTCATATACTGTAGAAAAATTGCAAATTATGTGCATATTATGTCGCATCATAATCCTGGACAACCTACTTACGCGTTGCATGAATCGCGTGATCATCATGTAATGTAAATAAAAATTTGATCTTTAGGCAAAGAGTGGTGGTACGTAGTAGGTTTTTGAGAGTTTTAGCGGTTTAGAGTTTTAGATTTTAGCAATCTTAGAACTTGAATAAACATTTAAACCATTAACTGTGTGTTTGTACGTAGTATTCCTTTAGGTAGAAGTCAGTATTGTTACTAGCCTTAAGTCCAATACTTTTTTTTTTAGCCTTAGCCTTAAGTCCATTTAGCCCTAGCTTTAAATCCAATTGGTCCAAATCCAACAGTTTCTATGTCCAAATAACAACACTGGTGGAAGTACCCGAACGACACATCAATCATTGTAAAGTGCCGAGCGAGTGAATTAAATAACTAGAGTGTACAAGCACACAGTAAACCAATTAATTTATCTCCAATTTTTCTCGATTATTCTCGTAATTTGCATTTATTGATATTCTATTCGGAACATTTCGAAAAACTTCGTTTGTCTTGAAATAGAAATAATTTTACTTTAATATTTAAATTAAGAATTAAAAGGATAAAGCATTAAATTATATAACCGAAAGAGCAATATAATTTATGGTACTGTATATTTAAATCACAAATAATTTAGTTCAAGTGTTAATAACGTTTGTAATTACAGGTTAAAGGCTTTTCTTTATTAACATTTCTTTCTAATGTATAAAAATAAATTTCACTACATCATGTAAATAATTGTAAGTAATAATTGTTCTATTCATAAGTTGAAAACAAACCATCATAAGAATCTTATTTATTTTTGATGTATCTATTATAATGTGGTTTCATTCTCAAATAAAATTGCGTATAATTTAATCCAAGTTTGTTAAGCGCAAAACTATTAGATCACAGCGAATAAAAAGCTGCTTTACATAAGATTTGGCAGAGAACAAATAAGAAACGTGCACCACAAAGCTATTTTAGCTTATACGTATATTCAGCTTACTACGTTTCTTGTATTGTTAAACAAAATATTTATATAACTAATAGTCAGTAAATTTTAACTATCAAATTTAACACAAAACTTATACAGTATATATGCTTTAATTATCTTGTACGCATTATAAAAAGGTAATTAAACCATAACAGGAATGAATAAACTTAACACAAAGTATGATGTTATAAAATCTTAATGATAGTAAGAAGCATATTATTGATAAATTTATCTAGACTTAGGTGTATATAATGAAAGTTTTTAATATTGTTTATTTACAAACTCTCATTAACCCATTTAATTAACGTTTTTTCAAGTTCATAAACTCTCAAAGGTTTTGAGAAATAATCATTTATTCCCGCATCAATACACTTATTTTGTATATCCGCCATTGGCATGGATGTTAGAACAATAATTGGTATATTTGAAATTGGTGGACTCATTGCCCTGATTGCTCGTGCGGTATCAAGGCCTGACATTATTGGCTAAATATAATAATTAATTAATAATGGATACTTTACTGTGATATATAAAACAACAAGTTCAGAAAAATTCAGAAAACAAACTTACTAAATTGTATTCTGTTAAAATTAATGAAATTTTGGAAGTCTTTACTTGGTCAACATTTGAATTTGATGAACTTGGGATCGTATTTTTTAATAATTTAAATTCAGAATCAATTAATTTGATTGCTTCTTGACCATTTTTTGCTGAAATTGTTGAATAACCAAATTTTGCAACTTGCTGCAATGTGTTCTAAGATAATTATAAATTATAAAATTTAGCTACAATTAGTAAAAGAAATACATAAATATATAATTACCTCTAAACTAATAGGATCATCATCCTACAAATAATGTCGAATCAACAAATTAATGAAATTCAAATATATAATATTAAAAATTTTAGAATGAAAAGAAATCAGGACATACCACACACAAAATAGATTTATTCTTTACAATATCTCTTATTTTGCTTTTATAGTCATCAACATAATTAGACTTATAATCTACTGTTTGTATCAGAATATTTTCATCATTGGTAGGAGTATTGTTTTTTTCGATATGTACAAGTAGATTAACTAATTTTTTCGATGTAATTGGTCCGTAAAGAATGTAATTTGCACCTCCAACTTTAGCAATTAACTTTCTTCCCAACTCATTTCCTTTATAATTAGGTAATACTATAAAGACTATTATTAAATTATTATTTCCTAATCCTTTTAACTCTAATACAGTTTTTAAGACCTCTTGGTCATTATTTTCATAAAGACCAATAAATACTACATCATAAGCATATTTATTATGCAATTCTTCATATTTTTTTGCTTCTTTAACACCTTTATCAAAGGTATCAAATGCATCAACATTTTGAATTCTCTTAAGATATTTTAACATAACATTTCTCAAAGTTTCAATTGGATGAATTATTAAAATTCGTTTATTCCTTATAGAATAACTTATTTTTTCATCAAATTTAGTTTCTAATGATGAAGAGTTAATTGTTGATAAATTTTCAAAATTCCATGTAAACCAAAATTTACTTCCTTGTCCTAATTTACTTTCTACTTTAATTTCTCCTCCATTAATTTCTACTAAATTTTTACAAATTGAAAGTCCAAGTCCTGCACCATCTTGTTTCTTAGTTATTGACATATCGCCTTGTGAAAAGCTTTTCCAAGCATGTTTTAAATATTTTGAATCCATACTACGCATAATTAAAGATTATATTAGCTGTTAGGTGAAACACTGAACAGTATATGCTTAATCAAATATACAGTATACGTATATAATATTAGCAATAAGTAACTTACCCAATACCTGTATCGTATAATTCGATTAATAGACTTCCTTTTTTAATAAATTGATCGTGAATAGAATTTTTGTCAACTTGTGATTGCGTTGAAATTGTTAGCATTATTTCACCTTTATCAGTAAATTTAACTCTAAAATAATAATAATAATAATAATAATAATAATATAAGATTATAATGAAATATAGTATTATTAAAAAATTATATATAATAAAAATTGTATAATATAAAAAATAATTACGAATTTGATAATAAATGAGATAAAATTTGTTTTAGCCTATTTTAACAAAAGAAAGAGTAATTAATTAATTATTATTTTTTTTACAGTATAAAATGCATTGTCTGTTTGTTATAAAGTTACCTTTCAGGATCGCTCTTAATATATCTTGGTAATAGATCTACATCGTAATTTACAATTAGATCAATCTTTTTATCTCCAGCTTTTTTCCCAAATTCCTCAATTATATTCTCAAATAATTCTAATAAATCAAATGTTCTGTTTATTAAAGTAATTTTTTTTGCTTCTAATTTTGCTGCATAAAGAATATTGTTTACTGTGGATAATACGATATCAGAAGCGCGTGTCATGATATTAATCATATCTTGTTGGTTAAACGTTAAGGTAGCACCCTCAAGGGAGGAAAGAATACCCACTATTGCTCCTAGCGGAGTTCGCAATTCTAAGAATAAAAATTATCAGAATAAAAAATTTTAATAACGTACAGTACAAAAACAATCAATAATAAAAATAATTATATACAGTACCATGAGAAGTATTTGCTAAAATTTGACTTTTTGTATAATTTGCAAATTCAGCAGCTTTTATTTGAATTTCTTTTTCAGCATTCTCTTCAGATAATTTAGAATAAGTGATAGCTAAACTTATTTGATTTGATATTTGTTGTAATAATTCTATTTCGGAATCTAGCCAAATAGAATTTGGAGATCTATGAACTTTTATCCAAACCAAATAATCATCATTTAATCTTAATTCTATAGATAATACAGATACATTTTTATGTATATAATCACAATATGTATCTGAACAAATATCTATTCCCAAATTATTATTATTTAAATCTTGTTGTAAATTGGTGAATGATTTTGATTTATTTTCATTATTATTAACTTCCATGAATGGATTAGTTATTGGTGTTATATTTTCGGAATCTTCATATAAAGCAACTATTTTATTATTTTTAGTTTTAGATTGTTCATTTGAAATAATAAATATTCTTTCACATGGTAATCTAGAATATATTTCTTTAACCACATAATGTAATGTTTGATCTAAATTTAATTTAGAAAGAATCTTGCTTGATATTGATAATAGTAATTGTTTTGTTTCTTCTTGTTTATATTGTTGATATAATATTTCTCGACGAAAATGTGAGAGATTAATATTAGTGCGAATACGAGTAATTAATTCTCGTGACGAAAATGGTTTTAATAAATAGTCATCCGCTCCTTTGTTCAAACCTTACGAAAAAGAAAAAAAAAAAAATGTGAAAAAATATACATAATTTATCAATATTGCAATAATCAATATTTAATAGTTGATTACCTTGGATTAAAGAATCTTCAGTTTGGGCGGATAACAATATTATGGGAATCAATTGAGTTTTTACATTAGATCTTAAAACATCTAATAACTCATATCCATTCATATTTGGCATCATAACATCTATTAAATTATATTATTTACTGTATGTATAGTAACGTATATCTCGTATATATAAAAACTAATTACTTACCGCTAAGGATTAAGTCAGGTAGCTTACTAAGCCTTGATAAGACTCGAATGGCATCTTGGCCGTCGCAAGCAAGATGTAAGTCAAATTCTTTTAACAGATCCGCCAAATAATCTCTAAAAAAAAAAACATTACTAATAAAAAATAATTTACGTATAAAATATTTGATTTAAATATAATAAACCAAAAAATATTACCGCATATTATTATTATCGTCAACAATTAAAACTTGATATTTTTCACTAGTATCAGAAATTAACATTGATTTATTATTATTCATGTTTTGATTATTGATTGACATTTGATCCATGATATCACGCTGAGATGTACTATTTTTTATCCATTGAGAGCTTTCTTCTAAATAAAGTTGTCGATTACTATATAATTCTCGACCATTATTTATTTGATTTTCAAAATTATTAAAATTGTTAAAGTGTATTTGATTTGTTGGTAAGTGCTCATGTCCTATTGGAAACCAACATTTAAACGTTGTTCCATGATTTACTATTGAAGTTACAGTGATATCTCCACCATGACGCGTAATAAGTTCTTTTACTAGTGCCAGTCCTATTCCAGTACCTTCGTGGCTACGTGAACTTTGGGATTCTACACGATAAAAACGTTGGAATATATTTGGAAGAGCAATTTCCGGAATACCAATACCTAGATTTAAAAAAAACTTAATAATCAGGTTATACAGTAATAACTTAATTGAAACTATTCATTTATAAACAAGTTATCTAATGGAATGTAGTAAAAGAAATATTAACCTGTATCTGAAACTTCAAGGATTACCATTTTTTTATTATCTTTGTAGTCAGGATATAACCGAATTGTTATACATCCATTCCAAGTATGCTTTAACGCATTCGAACCTTTAACAAGCAAATACCTTAGTATACACGGTTTAATAAAATAAATAAAATAACATTGAAGAAAAAGAACACTTACAAAGATTAAATACAATTGTTTCATACATATCATGATCCAAGAAGACTTTATCACCTATAGCTTGACTTAATTCTTCATTATGTGGAATATCAATGTTGTAATCTAAACCTAATGTTTTAGCCATATTTTTAAAATCTAAAGCTAATTCTCGAGTAAATTCCGCTATATTTGTTTCACGATAGTACACTTTTAATTGATTGGTTTCTATATTTGAAAACTTTATAAGAAGTTAATAATTTTGAAAAATAATTTTTAGTACAGTAATTATCGGGTATTAAAATTAAAGTTTATTGTTGTAACTTACTTGTAATAAAATATTAATAAGTTTAAGTAATCGACGAGAGTTACGTCGTATAGTTTGAAGATACGACATTATTGGAGCTTCTTGTGTACAAGTATTAATTACATCATTAAGAGGTGAGAGCATTAAAGTTAATGGTGCTATTATTATGATAAAATAAATAAATAATAATAATAGTAATGACGATTATTATTATTTTGTTATCTAAATCTACAGTAAATAAACAATAAATTTTCTTTAAAGATAATAATACTTTTTAGTTCATGACTAATGCCTTGAAAAAAAGTCACTTTTTGATAATTTAAATCAGACAATATTTTAGACCGCATTTTTTCCTCTTCGATTGATTGTCCATTTAACAAATATGAATACATTTGATTTTCGACTAACTAAAAAATTTTGTGTATTTTATAATAAATAATAGTGAAATTAACGAATAATATTAATTATGCAGTTATATGTAAACTTTTGCATACTTGTAAAAACTCCATATATTTATCATCAAATGTGCGAAGTCGATTAATGCCACAAATTAAAACAGCTGATAAAGTTTGTGAAATTTTTCTTGGTAATAGTACAGCCTGAGATTCATCATTTAAAAGAATTTTTACATGTTTTCCTTTTTTAATTGCAAGATATATTGGCCAAGAATCACATTTTAAAAATGAATGAGTTACAAAATCTCGTGATAATTCTACATATGTATTATAGTTCTTATTTGCATATTCTGATAAGTAAATTATTTCAGGAGTTTCTGGTAAATAATCAGGAAATTTCCATGCTTTTTTATCATCTTTATCAAAGGTCGTAGAGATTAGACAAGCGATCAAGGATTCCAAATTAGCATTTGATTTATGTTCAACAAAATAAATTATTGAATAAGGAATATCTGCATTATTTCTTAATACATTTGTTATAATATGGCAAGAACTTTTTAAAGATTCAATCTCTTCAAGAAATAATATAACAAATACAAAATGTGTTAATTAATAAAATTCTAAAATTTAAACATACAGTAATAAACATAATAATTCAACTTTATTGAATACCAACCAGAAGTTCGATTTCCAAATTCGCTTAGTACTTTTAACCTTCTAGCATTTAAAACTCTTTGAGTAGTTTCTTGTGCCATATTCATTATAGCCCAAACTGTGCCATCCGATTTGAAAATCGGACTAAATGTATAATTAAAATAAGATTCTTCTTTATACCCATCACGTTCTAGTTCAAAATATTCGTCTTTTTTAAACATTCCTTTTCCTGATTTTCTTACTCTAAATTTATTAAATTTATTAATTGCAATCAAGAAATGGTTATATAACATGAATATTTATCGTAGATATATCACATATATATATATATATTCAATATTGAACAACTTACTCTTCAAGTTGTGAAATAACAATCTCGCATATTTCAGGCCAAACTTCCTTGGTTGATTTTCCTAAAGCTATATAATATTAATAAGGATGCTAAGTTTGTAAAATTGATTATAAACATATAGTATGAAGCTAAATTTGTGATAACTAACCAAACGGATGTCTCGTTTTTAATATATCTGAAAATCCTATATAAAAGGTTAGACATTTAAAGTAAATTGAAAAATACAGTAAATTGAAAAGTAAATTGTATAGTTAAATAAATCAAGTAAGTGAGTTCTGAAATGGAATACCTTTATTATATAGTAAGATCCATTCTGGCGGACCGATATGGAGACAGATGGGAAATGTAGATCTGAGGCACACGCCCTAACATTAACAAACAAATATAATTTTTATAAATTAATATCTTTTAAATAAATAAAAGACTTCTTAAATAAACATTAATTTTATATATCAAATTTTTTCTACATCCGAAACTGTCACTTCGTTGTAACGATGATTTTATATGTATATATTGTACATATGTTTAAATTACCATAACAGTTTTTATTACAGGTTCCCATGAGTCCATAGGACCAAGAGAAGTCGATGACCAGTCAAAGTTGTAGACCAGGTTAATTATGTTGGCTTCTTCATTTTCGGTGTTACCGATGCAGGTTGAGGATAATGACATGGTAAGTAAATGAATGACGTAAAAAACTATAAAAGAGTACAATGAGTCAATTAACCGTTTAAAAACATTAAAAGATCAAAATATAATTAATAACTTGCTTTAGTAAAAAAATTTGCATATATGCCTTAATTATTCGAAAATAATTTTCAATGTGTATAACCGTTTTGATGAAAAAAGTTTCTTTGACCGACTTAATATATTTAATTTACTTAATAGACTTTTTTTTTTTTTTTTTTACATAAACTTATGTAAGTACGTACGTACGTACTGGAATATTAAACTATAATTTTATTTAATCTCCTATTGGCCGCAGGTATGTTACACGTTCATGAATGCTAATGTAGCCAAATTAGTGATTGCTTAGAACAAATGATCCTTTACATAATACTGTATTATGCGTACGTACGCACGTATGTACGCACGTAAGCACGTAAGCAAAGCTATAAATTTGTAAGCTGAATTTAGGTTTCATCGCTTCAAATATTGGCTTCAGATGTTGATACCGCATAATTTTGATATTACAAAATATAAACTTAGATTGATGTCCTGGAAGGTTCAATACCATATTTACAATACCTGGTACATTGCTAACATTTTTATATTACATATGGGCTAAGTGCTGTAAAAAGGAGGAAAATAAACATTTTCAAAAAATTTCTTTTCTTTTTTTACACAAATTAATTTAGTTGGAAATCCCGAGTTACACAGTATAAAAAAATTTTAAAGTACGTAAATCTTACAATGAAAAGCCACATCGATAATCGGCAACTTACCTGTTACGGTTTCACATACATAGCAAAGGTTTTAAAAACATCTTAGTATTTTTAGTTTCTTATATGTTTGTAAATGAAAAGGATTAGTATAAATCAGTATCACTAAAAACTTGATTTAGGTGGCAAAATTTATTTCAAAAACAGTCAATCAGTCAATAAAAAGAGATTATACTATGCGTAAGATTTAAACTTGAAAACCTTTACGCATATTATTTTAACATGTTATTTCAACAATAATAGGTTTATAATAATATTTATGTCTTATATACTGTTTATATTATATGATTAAACTGTTAGATAGATTAGTAGATATATCTTTGTTTAGACTATAATATATACGAATAGCATTAGTGTTTATTAATTGTATAGGTTAAAGATCATAACATGTCATTCATAAGATTGCAATAACTTAAAAGTAAAATAGAATTATTATTTAATTTATAATAAATAAGAAGTAAAGCTTCGCTAATATCAGATTAGATGTTCGATTACATTTATTAACCAGTTAAATCGAATGTCTACCAAGTTGCTCTTTAAAGTTTGTATATTCTTCAGTTCTTTTATTGATCTTCCGAAGATCTTTTGTTTTCCTTTTTTGTAATTGGTATTTGCATTCGTGTTTACAACAGTACTGCAGTATCAGATTGTTGTCCGCACATGTGATAATCAACCAATGATTCAATTATGATCAATGTAGTAACACGATCAAAAAAAAATTTGTTCGTTTTTAAAAACTGTTCATATCCCGAAATTTTACATAACAAATCGACTTTTGTGTCCTAGCAAAAATTTTTTCTTGTGAAATTTTACCCTATAATGTCTGTTCTTTGATAATAATTATTAAATATAATGGACAATAAAATATGCATTGATTATCACGTGTGCAGACAAATCCCCTGCACGCTGTGTTTTTTCGTGTTTACGAAGCGACCAGAACATTGATCCTTGTGTTATGGATTATGGCAGGTTATTTGTATGTATTAAACTATTTATATCGTTGTTCTCATTGAGTAAAGGTTATTAATTTTTTTTGCAAATTTGTTTGGTTCAAAAATTGATGCTTCCGAAATAAATTCTATAAAAAGGTAACCATTTTAAGTTATACGTACTTACAGAAAAAATTCAAAAGCTTAATTTGATGGTACATTCCCGACTTTCAAATTTAATTCAAATTTCTTTCTTTAGGGTTTGCTTAAGCCTTTGTACCAATGTGGCTCTTATTTGTATTTACAGTATATTGCATAATTATTAATATCACATATGTATGTACGTACGTACTTGCATTTCTTGAATGCGTACCAGGGTTAGACATGTGCCAGATGGGAGCCCTAATTCCCCCCCAGTTGTGATTGGACGCATGAAATGTCATCTTTAATTGGATAAACTAGATCACGCCACCTTAGCACAGCCGCAAAATCAAAAACATTTCTTCAAAAAAAATCAAATTATTTTTATTGTGTGAAAGTTTTTTGCTAATAAAAAAGATCGAAATAATCTAAAATATAAATGTTAAAGAAAATTCGTGCTTCTAATACAACAAAGAAAATTTTTATAAAGTTTTTGTTCGGTGCTTTATTTCTCAAAAGAATAAAATTTTGCCAAGACCTACGTTTACAAGATTGTAATTTTAAAATATATTCAACTACATTGTAAGACTACATAACTAATTTTTACTTGTTTACAGTAAAAAATAATTGACACGAACATTTGAAAGTTTCGAGTTCATTTTTATTGATATTGATGCAATACTGCAAATAAATAAAACGCTACTGCTAATTAATATATTTGTTTTAATTCTAATACAATTATGTAACTCAAGTTCTCAAAATCTATTTTCCCGAAAGGAAATAAATAGTCGATATTATGTTCTTTCGGGAAAATAGCTTTCAGAAGTCGTACAGTAACCCTGATATAATACTGCTTGCTTGCTAATTAATAATACTGAAAATAAATATTACTGCTAAATTGCTAAATAATTAATAAATTTTTTATACACTTCCAAAAAAAATAAAAATAAAAATCATACGTATTTTGTTTTCAGATTAAAAATTTTACACGATATAGTGAATTTTTACAGTAATATTCGATAAAGTCGGCGAAAATTTATTTAGTCGTTCACAGTTCACACGAAATTATTTACTAAAAACTTGAAGCGCTAGATTCAAAAAGAGCAAAGCGTTAGTATTAAACAGCGAAAAGAATAAAAAAAAAAAAAAACTAAATTCAAAAGAGTGATAGTATTAAACAACGAAAAGAATTAAAAAAAAAAACTAAATTCAAAAAGAGCAAAGCGTTAGTATTAAATAGCGAAAAGAATTAAAAAAAAAAAAGAAAGAAAAAAATTTAATCAATCTGCAATCATTGCGAAAATAATATTTATTTGAGAAATTTTTTTAGCCACCCTAATCAGTGATGTAATTGGTTTCGTCCAATGGAAAATTATATTTGTATTCGTCCAATAGGAAGTGGGGATAAATTAGTAAACCCGTGCCAGATAGAGTTTTAATCAGAATCATATGGTGTAAGCACCAATTAAATGCAATCATATTTCAGGATTATATTTCAGGTCATGGTTAAAATTTCACCTTTTGCTTTATCAACCGTCCTGTGCTTTATAGACATTCTATTTTCTTTAATTTGTAAATATAACAAAAATACTTAATACTATTAAAGTATTATTTTACAGACATTTACTACAGTAATTTCGAAAATATGTACGGTTAACAAAGGTTATAAATTTAGCTTTCCTTATTCTAGGTTATAAAATTTTTTTATAAAACATCATGAAAGAAGCATGTGAATAGTTCTTTGAACTAGTATATCAATAATGCTATTAAGAAACGAAGAGAAGTAACCTTTTTAGAATATAAAAGGAATACGAATTGAGGGGAAAGAACTTTTAGATATTTCAGAGAAATGATTAAAATTTATAAATTTATCTGTTATTATTAAAATTGTACTTAAAATTTATTTAATAAAGTTATTAATAATTTATTGGCGCAAATTGCTTTGGCCGATTAATATTAACTTAGTAAATTAATTAAAAAAAAGTTTAAAATACTATAACTCATCATTTAATTACAGGCCTACCATCTAGTGTTATATAAATTATATAAATTTAAGCAAAAACTTTTCAAAAAAAAATCTATTTATACATCCACATTATCTTGCATATGACAGGTTTTTGGTTTTTTTTTGAGGAAAAAAAAATTCTTTAGCTCGAAAAATTAAATTATTATAGATTCTTAGTTACAGTTAATTCACCTATTATTATATTAATATTATTTTAATTAATTATTTTTCAGTAAACAAACTTGTTTTTTTTTAAATACAACTTTTATATTATCTTCACTTAAATCACTTGTCGCAAGGTATAAACTATTATGCATGAATTTTTCTAGACTTTATCTTGACCTGTATATGTTTGGATGTTTGGTGTTTGTTTCAAATCGGTTTATAAAAATTTTCGATTTGATAAACGTATCCTAAATTATTTCGAGTATGCTTAATTAAATGAAGCTTTTTCTAGTCATACCAAAATAAAAAATTTTATAGGTATGAATAACTCAATATTAAACCTTGAGTTACTTGTAAGGTTTGGATTGTTCCCTGATTTTAATAAATTTATCACTATTAGAACTAAAATAACTCTATACAACTTTTAGAAATCCAGTTAGTAAAAAAAAAAACAATAAAAACTTTATACCTTTCGATCGCGATTTTAACTTCTGACAATTTTTATTATTATTACTTCAGCACTTTATACCCTTCAATCGGGATTAATTCTTAAGTTATATCATCAGTCATCATAAGGACCATTTGTAGAACCATCATAAATTGATATATTGATATGAACGACCTTCAAAAATTTTTTTTTAAAAAAAAATTGCTTTCCTTTTAGATAACAGTGAACTCTAAGTTATTCATATCGTATTGTTGCAAAATAACATCCATGAGCGTTGTTTAGAGTAATGGTCTGAATTAAGCTTAATTTAATAAGTCAAAATTTAAAATACACACTGTGCGTTATTTCGCGACAATAAGGTACTAATATAAAAAACATCAGGAGGTATGTTTATCGCCCACACTCAATGTCTGTGTTACTCCATAATTGTAGAGTCATCAACAGGTATTCAATAAATGTAATAATTTCCATTGTCGTATGGAGGAGGTTAATTATTAAATTCAATATTATATTTGTTTTGAAACTGATATTGTATGCTTCTA